ATGTTATTCTAAATAGATCCAAAAAATACATAATATTACTAAAACTAATAATAGATGCATTTTTTTGATCTATTTAGAACAACATTTATTTTTCATAACACACCCTCTCTCCCCCGATCACCCTGCGTTGAGTGCCAAATTGGGCAGAACAAAGGCAGTAAAACATTCTTCAACAAAAAAAAAAATCTTGGTAATTTAGCTGTAACTGCATGGAACTCCTGACAACAAAGTATATAAAATGTATCAAAATGTTGTTCTAGATAGACCCAAAAAATACAGAATATTGGTAATATATATTTTTTGGGTCTATCTAGAACATTTATTTTCCATGACTCTCGCCTTTCCACCAATGCTGGGGAACTATTCCTCCGGCTGATACCACTGATGGCACACTATTCCTTCCACTGACACCAATGATTGGGCACTATTCCTCCCATTGATACAAAGGATGGGGCACTATTCCTCCCACTGAAACCAATGATGGGGCACTATTCATCCCACTGATACCAATGATGGGGCACTATTCCTCCCACTGATACCAATGATGGGGCACTATTCCTCCCACTAACACCAATGATGGGGCACTATTCCTTCCACTGACACCAAGGATGGGGCACAATTCCTCCCACTGACACCAATGATGGGGCACTATTCCTCCCACTGATATAAAGGATGGAGCACTATTCCTCCCACTGACACCAATGATGGGGCACTATTCCTCCCATTGACACTAATGATGGGGCACTATTCCTCCTACTGACACCAATGATGGGACACTATTCCTCCCACTGATACAAAGGATGGGGCACTATTCCTCCCACTGATACAAAGGATGGGGCACTATTCCTCCCACTGACACCAATGATGGGGCTCTATTCCTCCCACTGACACCAATGATGGGGCACTATACCTCCCACTGATACAAAGGATGGGGCACTATTCCTCCCACTGACACCAATGATGGGGCACTATTCCTCCCACTGATACAAAGGATGGGGCACTATTCCTCCCACTGATACAAAGGATGGGGCACTATTCCTCCCACTGACACCAATGATGGGGCACTATTCCTCCCACTGATACAAAGGATGGGGCACTATTCCTCCCACTGATACAAAGGATGGGGCACTATTCCTCCCACTGACACCAATGATGGGGCACTATTTCTCCCACTGATACAAAGGATGGGGCACTATTCCTCCCATTGACACTAATGATGGGGCACTATTCCTCCCACTGACACCAATGATGGGGCACTATTCCTCCCACTGATACAAAGGATGGGGCACTATTCCTCTCACTGACACCAATGATGGGGCGCTATTCCTCCCATTGACACCAATGATGGGGCGCTATTTCTCCCACTGATACAAAGGATGGGGCACTATTCCTCCCACTGACACCAATGATGGGGCACTATTCCTCCCACTGACACCAATGATGGGGCTCTATTCCTCCCACTGACACCAATGATGGGGCACTATACCTCCCACTGATACAAAGGATGGGGCACTATTCCTCCCACTGACACCATTGATGGGGCACTACTCCTTCCACTGAAACCAGAGATGGGGAACTATTCTTCCCACTTGACACCAATCATGTAATTCTTTTGCCCCCACTGACCTCCAAGTCTACAGCATTTTCTATTCCCACTGGCCATAGTCTGGCCCATCTAAAGTTTGAAGGGCAGTAAACTGGCCCTTTGTTTCGAACGTTTGGAGACCCCTGCACCACACCAAAGTCATCTGATTTTATGAATACCATGTATCTTATTGGATGTATTTAGAAAAACATTTTGATACATTTTTATATATATTATAAACTGTTGTCAGGTGTTCCTCACTGCTACATCTCCTAAGACTTTTGTTTTTGTATGTTGGAGGTTATTTTGGGATGGTCACTATTGAGGATACATTTGCTGTTTTTGATTCTACCTCCTCTATTTCTAATTGACAATCTTCATTTGGCATCCAACTTCTCCTTCATTCAAAGTTCTATCGGATCATTGTGACAACACAGACATACAGTATAGCTTTCAGAAAGTGAAGAAACAATGTAACAATTTAAGTCCATAATTCACATAAAGTAAACCAGAAAAGAAACAATGTACATCTCTGAAATGCAAAAGAGAGGACATCCTCCGATGAAGGTGACTGGCCTTATGGTGCCGTCAGAGTCTTGTTAGAAGAATGGAATGGTCACTAATGAGGTAGCAATGTAGGTAAAAGCGACGTCACCAATCCGCAGACTTTTCGGAAGACAAATATTTACCTGCTTGTGTTTTCAGCCATATTGCTCCTCCACAACTTGGAGAAGTTTTTGGGACCATCACTGAGAAGGACAGGTAGAAATTTATAAAGCCACCTCATCTCCACATGGAGAGACTGGAGAGACGGAGACTGGCCTCGCATTCTGAAAATACTCAATGAGAACTGCAGAACAACGACAAGGCAGGTGGCCTTTTCAAATGGAGGTCAGCAGTGGTCCATATCTCTTTCATGATAGGTACACTTTAATGCTACATTTGAATTCCATCTTGACGCTGCAGACTGGAAATTATTTGGCTCTTCCACAGCCAAGGTTCTCCTTGAGCATCCTAAAGTGTCCTACAAGATTATCATCATCCTTCCAGCACCATAACCAAGAAAGAAATGAATACCCAAGAATGTATGTGGCCCCTGGAGGGCCCCATGGATTCTGCACCATTGTACATACGGTTTTGAAAGCCACAGGTATTTCCAGGGGCGTCCAGGTAACAGTGACATTGAAACTGCTCCTGTAGAAGAGCAATATCCTCTGATGACAGCTGGCCCTCCGCCCACATTGGAATGGACGCGTTGGACTCAGGTGATGCCTTCACAATGCGGAAGTTGGCAGGGTTGAGATGTAGAAAGGCATCGGTGACATTTTCTTGACGCAGACAGCGCCCGTTCCCACCGCAGAGTGCCTGGCTGCACAGAGAGGCTGCTGTGGTGACATTGACGATGTATTGGCCCAAATCTTCATCCAGGAATGATTTCATGTTTTGGCAGGTTTCCTGTAGAGAGGAGAACCGGATTAGAAAGGTAACACTCAACACATACCCATCTCCACCCACTAGAGTTGATTCTAAATTTCAGATGATGTTAAATTTTCAACAGAATTTCATGGATTTAGACCACCAAATCCAAATTTCACCTTTGTTTTTGGTGGCTCGAATCCCTATAGGGCCTCTGGGGAAAAAAGGACCAAAGATGGCTCCCAAGACACCCTTAGATATATCTGTTTCTGGTGTTCCCCTTCGTCCCCTTCTATCTTATTATCCCTGGTAGAATTTTAAAGCAAATGTCTCAGTCTAATTAATCTCATTAGGTTGCCAGGAGCTTCCCAAACCATTCTACACAGATTTGCTCCTCCATATTCAGAAGTTCTGAAATATAGAGATTCACGAAAAGTTTGGTTGAACCTCAAGCAACTGAACTTTTCTTAAATTCACTGATCTCTCCTTTACACCAAAAAGTAACACAAAACCTCTGGTGTATGTAAAATGGATTAGATTTTCATTAACAAACGTTCTTATACGGGATCAGTTTGTCTTTTCGTATTAGCGTCCTTGGCATTGTTTTGTAAAAGGTTTCTTCTTCAATTGGCTTTTAAAAGGCACATCATGCTGACAATATTTTTGCCTTGTTACATATAGATGTTTATGTATTAATACCAAGGCTTGAATTCTCATTAAGGCACAGGTCTCTGTGCACAAGGTGCCCCGCCTCTTAGGTAAGCTCCACCATTGCCTAAAATGTTTCTAGGTGGAGATTCCCTTGTACAGCACTGTTGAATCTGAGGCCCAAATCAAAATTAAGACCCACCACCAAAAAATCAGCAAGCTCAAATACCCCTAGGCTTGGGGATGTAGACCTGACCTGACCCCGATTTAGACCTGACCTGACCCCGATTTAGACCTGATCTTGACCCCGATGTAGACCTGATCTGACCCTGATGTAGACCTGACCAGACCCTGATGTAGACCTGAGCAGAGTCTGGATAACTCAGTCGGTAGAGAATCAGACTTTTAATCTGAGGGTTCAGGGTTCAAGTCCCTGTTCCAGCGGTGGTTTTCTCCTAGTGGTGAGATTGTTGAGCTGCAGATAGGGTAGTCTTTATATTGCCCCTGTTGGTTCTGTGAGTGAATTTGGTGGTTTCTTGGTACTGGATCTAGGAGGAGCCATATTTCGTATTCTCAAGGTAAAGTATGGACAGTAATGTATTTGAGATATCTGAAGAAATTAGGACTGGAACAGGTAAACAGATATGGTGATACGTAGCTAGAGCTATGGCTACATCTTGGATGTCCTGGAATGTGCACTCCTTGCTGCCCTCAACGGACTGGGGTAGTCCAAATGTACTGGATACAAAGGAAACAAACAGAGGGAGCACCGGCCTAGTGCATTATCGTAAAAAAAACATTTATTGAAATTATATAAAATAGGTATCGTACTCACAACTGACATAAATGTCAAAGGCACATCACAATGAACAGCAGTGTCCAATCCACACTACATGTAAATCCGCAATGGGAACCCTGGACCTCCAACAGGCTAATGCATTTCTAGGGTTTAGCCTCTTCCTCAGAGTGCCCTCTGTTTGTTTTCTTTGTATCTAAGATTCTCCACCATCTGTCCTATGTGAAATGTCTACTGAAGCAGTCATTTCTATGGCCCTATGACCCAGACAAAGCATGTGGATCAAGCATTCTACTTTCACTGACTGCATGATTGTTTTAGGTAAATGGCATGGAAAGTTGCCAGGCATCCATGTTTAGGGTGGCATCAACATGTAAATAACAGGTAGAGGGAATCATAAAAGGCAGGCTATGTTTTTCTGTCATGACAGGTTTCCTTCAGGTGTCCGGAATAAGAGAAGGATGGAGAGGAATGGCTGGGAGAGAAGATGGAACTCCGGATCAAGACACAAGGTACGACCTTGATAAACTCACTTGGTTCTTGGCATAGCTTGTATCACCCCATAATATCACCCCAGCCGCACCCTGCGCCGCACTCTCTCCCGATGGTGGAGATGAGATCCATCTGAAGGTAGAAAATAAAAATCATTATTAAAATACTGAAATCCTAAACCAAATAGATCACATCGAAGTAGAAATATATTGGCTTGGGGAACCCCTTCAAAGACCAATTCATCAGAGGCCAATGGGAAAATGTGTTTGTTTTATAGGCATTTTGAGTACATGGTTTGTGTTCACTTACAGTTATGTCCAAACATCTTGTACCCCCTGCCTTTCTGTCAGATAATGCACCACTCATGTTTATCTCTTTTGTTTATATTGGTGACACAAAAAAGTGGAGAAACAAAAAGCCGAACCTGGCACATTCCACGCAAAACCTCCAAAAATGGACTGGACAAAATTAATAGCACCCTCAATGTAACATTGGGTAGCACACCCCTTGGACAAAATAACTGAAATCAATGGCTTCCTGTACCCATCAACGAGTTTCCTCCACCTCTCTACTGGAATTTTGGATCGCTCTTCTTTCTCCAACTGCTCCGGGTCTCTCAGATTGGAAGGGTTCCTCCTCCCAACTGCTGTTCTGAGATCTCTCCACAGGAACTCTATGGTGTGGAATCCAATCTGGCTTTTTTCTGTTTATGTGTCAGCAGTGGGGTCCTCCTGGGTTTCCTACCATGGCATCCCTTTTCATTCAGGTGCTGACGTATAGTGTAAGCCAACACAGTAGTATCCTGTGCCTGAAGGTCAGCCTGAATTAGTTTGGAAGTTGATGGAGGTTCTTTAGTCACCATTTCAACAATCCTTCATTGCAATCTTTGATCAATTTTTCTCTTTCGTCCACGTCCAGGGAGATTGGTTACAGTGCCATGGGCTGGAAACTTCTTGACGATATTGCGCACAGTGGACACAGGAACATGAAAATCTCTGGAGATGGACTTGTTACCTTGAGATTGTCCATGCTTTTCCACCATTTTGGTTCTCCAATCCTCAGACAATTCTTAGCTGCTCTTCCTCTCCTCCATGCTCCTTGTGGCACACAGAGACACACAACAGAAAGGTGGAGTCCATTTTTCACCATTTTACCTGGTTGTCGGTGTGATTTCTATATAGTCAGCACCTGGTCATTGATACGGGGGAGATTAATAACAAATTACAGAAGCAAAACAAACACAATTATGTCTTACAATTTTGAGAAGGAGCCAATTATTTTGTCCGGTCCATTTTTGGGATTTTGCGTGGAATGTGTCAGATTTGGCTTTTTGTTTCTCTACCTTTTTTGGGTCATACCGATACAAGCAAAAGAAATAAACACGAGAATGTTGAAACATTTGTAATTGTAGCAATTTTCTGGGCAAAGTGGTGCGTTATCTGACAGAAATGCAGGGGGGAGGGGGGGGCAAGATTTTTGATTATCTTCCCTTTGCCCTGTCTTCTGTCTGCTGGTATTTGGATGGATTTTGGTTTCACTGAAAATAAATCTTATTTTAATTATATTTAGTCTGGTCTCAGTTTCCCAAGTGTAGCCACACAGATCCGACCATTCCTGCTGCTGATTCCTGACAATTGGTGTCATGCAGTTAGCTCTGCCATTTGGTGTAGGCTCCAGTAATTTGCAGTCACCATCAAATGGGAGGTCAATCAGCCACAGCTCAAGGAACCCCTAACAACATCTAGATGAACCCTAAGATTCCACAGAGCCCTGGCTGAGAAAGGCTGGTCTAAAGATTTGCAGCAACACAAAAGGATACAGCAACTCTTAGGTACAATCTCTAGAAGAGTGCATACAATCAAACTAAAGGGTCACATCACCCAATCAGGGCATTCTTGTTTGGTAGTTGCTGGAGAGTAAAGTAGATTTTAAACTCTGGCACCCTCCTAGAGTAGTGCAGGTTGGTAGGTAAATTTAGTTGGTTCCTCTCTAATCAGTGGAGCAGGGGTTGATTGTCCAGGGCTGCTCAGTGTTTCACAGTCTGCTGCTCTCATTATTTCCCCCTGTGCTCTAGAGGGTTCTAGAATTATAGTGGGAGGAAGAACAGAGTAAGCAGCCTGAATATTTATCGGACTCCAGCCAGTCCCCGGGGAGGTGTGCCCAGGGGGTGGTTGGGGAGCTCATAAATAGTCTGAATCTTGAGGCAGGGGGAGAGAGTTGCTGGGTCCTGCTGGAGAAGATGCCTGTGCAAAGGGCTCTGCCCCTGGGACAGGAGTACTGGAGGTGCAACTAAGACATCAAGGTCCCAGCTTGATCTTATATGGGGGGCCTATTTGCAAGTTTAGTCCTGTGATCAGGTCAGGTCTGGAGATGCTCACTGGAGAGGGCCAGGAGAAAGTTGGGGGAAATAGTCCAGCTGTCCTATGGTGTGGTGTGAGTCTACATCTGCTTCACTGAGAAGTGCCTGGTGGATATTGGAAGGAGGCAACCAATGATCCTGTGGCAGTGTGAGTAGATGACATGTTTCGGAAGGTTAGTGACTGTGTGTTGCTTTTGATCTCTTGGGAGAAGTCATAGTCGCCATTAGCACTTGAGATTCTGTGGGACATTTTTGTACAGCTCAGCAAGACAAAGAAGAGTCGTCGAAGTGTTCAGTTTCCCATTTGGGGTATCCCATGTTCCCTTCACTACATTCAGGTTCAGTGTTTTCTAGGCAGTGTTTTCATGCATTCTTTGCATGAAAGTAAAAAAACCTGTGTGCAGCAGCCCCCCCCCCCATACTTACCTGAGCCCCCCTCTTGATTCAGTGATGTGCAGACTCCCCGGGACTCTCCCTCCTCATTGGCTAAGACAGCAGTGGGAGCCATTGGCTCACACTATTATCAATCACAGCCAGTGAGCCAATGAGGAGAGAGCAGGGGCAGGGCCAAACCACACAGTGTGTGTGAATGGAAACACAGAACAGGGGTTCAGGAGGGAGCCTGCTTGGGGGACCCCATAGAAAGCTGCTTGCTCTTGGGGCATTTGGCAAGAGGGAGGGGCCAGCAGCACTGGCGGGGACCTTAGAATAGGAGGATCAGGGCTGCTCTGTACAAAACCACTGCACAGAGCAGGTAAGTACAACATGTTTATTGTTTTTTTTTTTTATTGCGTTTAATATCACCTTAAGTAAAGGAACATAAAATGTGATCTGCCCCTGAATAATATGTGGTGAAGAAGGTAGCATGCAAAGTGGGCATCGTTGCCACATGGCTGTAGGTAAACAGACAATGGCAAGGGACCTTTACAACATGCTGGGTGATTTGTGGTCCCAATGGGACACACTGCACAGTCAATAACTAGGGGAATGTCTTGTTGGCAACTGGATTGAGGAAGTGGTTTGGTGATGGTGGGTCAGTTGGTGACCGGGAAGATGCCTTTGGAGCACCTGCCACATCACTTGGGCGCCTGTATTTCATGGGCCCCAACTATGGACTGAACCTGGAACCATGGGTGTAGTAGAGGTCTCTCATGTAAAGTGAATCAAGTACCCTTGCCCAGCCCTAGGTCCAAAGCAATAGAACCTGTATGGATGTGTTTAGAAACCGGCAGAGTGAAGTTGAAGCTTCAAGTAACTGAGGACCTGGGTCTAGGGAACTGATTTAACAACCTGGACACCGGAGGGCCCTCTAATGGGATTTTATGAGCCTCTGGTTCTGCACACTGGTTGCTGACTGTACATACAGTGAGGAACAGAAGTATTTGTACCCTCTGCGATTTTGCAAGTTCTACCACTTAGAAATCATGGCGGGGTCTGAAATCCACATTGTAGGTGCATTCCCACTCTGAGAGACAGAATTTAAAAAAAATCAGGAAATCACATTGTATGATTTGTAAAGAATGTATTTGTCTCGCACTGCTGAACAGAAGTATTTGAACACCTGAGAAGATCCGTGTTAATATTTGGTACAGAAGCCTTTGTTTGCAATTACAGAGGTCAGACGTTTCCCGTAGTCCTTAGCCAGGTTTGCACTGCAACAGGGATTTTGGCCCCCTCCTCCACACAGATCTCCTCTAATTCTGTCAGGTTTCGGGGCTGCCGCTGAGCAACACGTAGTTTCAGCTCCCTCCAAAGATGTTGTATTGGATTTAGGTCTGGAGACTGGCTAGGCCACTCCAGAACCTTGATATGCTTCTTACGGAGCCACTCCTTGGTTCTCCTGGCTGTGTGCTTCGGGTCGTTGTCATGTTGGAAGACCCAGCCACGACCCATCTTCAATGCTCTGACTGAGGGAAGGAGGTTGTTGCTCAAAATCTCACAATAAATGGCCCCATTCATCCTCTCCTTAATACAGTGCAGTCGTCCTGTCCCCTTCGCAGAAAAGCACCCCCAAAGCATGATGTTACCACCCCCATGCTTCACAGTAGGGATGGTGTTCTTGGGATGCAACTCATCCTTCTTTTTCCTCCAAACACGACGAGTGAAGTTTAGACCAAACGTTCTACTTTGGTCTCATCTGACCACATGACTTTCTCCCCATGCCTCCTCTGGATCATCCAGATGGTCATTGGCAAACTTCAGATGGGCCTGGACATGTGATGACTTGAGCAGGGGAACCTTCCGTGCATTGCATGACTTCAAACCATGACGGCGTAGTGTTCTACCGACAGTGACCTTTGAAACTGGTCCCAGCTCTCTTCATGTCATTGACCAGCTCCTCCCTTGTAGTTCTGGGCTGATTCCTCACCTTTCTTATCATCAGTGATACCTCACAAGGTGAGATCTTGCATGGAGCCCCAGTCCGAGGGAGACTGACAGTCGTCTTTAGCCTCTTCCATTTTCTAACAATTGCTCCAACAGTTGATCTATTTTCACAAAGCTGCTTGGCAATTGCCCCGTAGCCCTTTCCATCCTTGTGGAGGTCCACAATTTTGTCTCTGGTGTCTTTTGACAGCTTTTTGGTCTTGCCCATGGTAGTAGTTGGCGTCAGAATGACTGTGGACAGGTGTCTTTAAAGAGCTCAGATAGGTGCTACTAAGTTAGATTAATGAGTGGAGTAGAGGTGGACTTTTTAAAGGCATAGTAACAGGTCTTTGAGAGCCAGAATTCTTGCTGTTTTTTAGGTGTTCATATACTTATGTTCAGCAGTGCAAGACAAATAAATTCTTTAAAAACCATACAATGTGATTTCCTGAATTTTTTTTTAAATTCTGTCTCTCAGAGTGGGAATGCACCTACAATGTTAATTTCAGACCCCTCCATGATTTCTAAGTGGGAGAACTTGCAAAATCGCAGGGTGTTCAAATACTTCTGTTCCTCACTGTAAACATGTATACCTTGAGGTGTTCATTCAGGCCCTTTACTGACAGTAAAAAAAAATGAGGGTTGTGTAGGTTGTCAGATCATTTTATGGTAACCCCTTACAATCCTCATCCCTGTTGTAGGTGGAGCCAATATCTCAGGTATGCCGAGACAGGAGGTTGACAAGAGTGTAGAGGGAACACCAATGGCAGAGCAGAAGGGAATTTTCTGCGGGTGCACATTGCTCATTGTGTTGTCTCACCTGAGAGAGAAGGTTGAGGTTTTCTTTGTAGGTGGGTCTTGTATACACTAAGACAGGGAGAAAGTAATCAGTGTATTGTGGAGCAATCCTCATGGCCTCTTTCACCCGATAATGAACAAATTTGCGTCCATTTAATGAATTGTTGAGAGGGGGTTCCAGGTAGATAGAAGGATAAAGGGCGGTACTCGCCTCCCACAGCCACCATAATTGGTCATTACGTGACATCTCCACGTCGGGGCACTTGCCAGTATAACTATCCCAGTTGAACAGGTAGTCATGGTTGTAGCAATCTGGGAAAAGGTAATACCCCCAGAGCTGGTTGGGTCGATTATTTTTGGCATATTGCAGCGTTTCTGCCATGAACTCGCGGGCGGCAGTTTCAAATTCATACTGAGCTTTCTCAGTCACCTCTCCGGCCATCCAGTCTGGATAACGAGAGGCCACCAGCTGTTGTGAAACTTGCCTGTATATGTCCTTCATCTGCCAGTTCCGAATCCAATTGGGTCGCCATTCCTCCCAGTCAATGACCCCCAGGCCAATTTTATTAACTGATGGCATGTATTTGTTGATTCCATTCACCATCTGCTCCAGGTGAGCCTGCAGACTGACATTCTGAGGCAAACCTCCATTGATGGATACATTGTTCTTGTCGAAGTAAGGGTAGAGCCCCAGACGCTCCTTGTAGAAGATGGTAAGATTCTGGTCTACAATACCCTGACTAGGGGACGAATTGAGGTCAAAGAGTCGAAGGTCAAAAGACACATTAAAGCGGCTCTGGCAGTCTTGAGTGGGCGCATTCCATGCCACCATGAATGGGCGATCGCTGAACATGGGAGGAATGGTGGGTTTGTAGGTGTCTGTGACATCAGTCACCATAATAAGGAGACCCCATAGGGCCCAGGAGAGGCTGTAGTGGGTCATCATTGGGCAAGATTGAAGACTGGACTTGATAACGCCTACCGAGAGAAAACAAGAAAGCAAGATTAGAAACACCAGTCTACGACCTACGTACTGATATATGTTAGGAAACATCATTACCTTTTTTTGTAATGGACCCATCTGATATCCCAGATATAAGCTCCCAAACAAACCCTAAAGGGGGAGAATTCCCTTCTAGAGAGATTTCACCAAAACAGGTGTCCCTTTCGGAAGATTTACCCTCGCCCCCTGTTCTGGTGAAAAGTTTCAATTTCCCATCACGCTTGTCTTGCACTTCCATTGTGAACTTTAAAGATGAATTTCTCCACAGTGCCTGCAGCTAAGGATTTGTTTTAAAGCTTTTTTTTTTACAGCTCGCCCCGAATATGTAAAATTATGTCTTTAATCTTAGCACAGGTTTTTTTTTTTTTTTTTTCTTTGCCTGTCAGACTGAACGCATAAAACCAGCATCAAACCATCAAGCTACTGATCTGCATTCTTTGCATCATACTCGGCTCAACCAGAGATTTTAATCAGATAAATTGAACTACAAAGCAAGCTGCTCTCATTTAGCATTTGTTAAATGTATATTAGGAATAGGTAAAAGCTTGAAAAAAAAAAAAACTGCAATAAAATTAACCCAGCAGCCTTACAGTTTCCCCTTTAATCCACCCCCATAATCTGGTAATTAAATAGACTATGGGTAACAAGAACAATTAGAAAAAAATGAATCGGCTGCAGAATTTTCCTTGAATTGAACTGTGATCGACATAATTGCACTATAATCTTAATACAAACCTATTAAAATTGTGGGTTTTTTGCAGAACTACAAATTTCAGCTGTCTTATCAGTTTTTAGCTTTTCTTTTCAGTTTTTTAGTGTGAGGGACACTCTGGCATTTATTTGACTGCAAAGGGGAATCTATAACTCGCAATGACAATCCTGAAGTCACTTATTGTATGTCTAATGTTAGCTCAGTACAGAGGGTACAGGGTCAGTGGGGGGGGGGGGGGTTACAGGGTTAGCAACTCAAGAGGCACAGGGGTACAGGGTCAGTGTCATAGGGGGAACAGGGTCAATGATATAGGGGAACAGGGTCAGTGTCATAGGGGTACAGGGTCAGTGTTATAGGGGTACAGGGTCAGTGTCACAGGGGGCACAGGGTCAGTGTCACAGGGTGGAACAGGGTCAGTGTCGTAGGGAGTACAGGGCCAGTGTCACATGGGAGGGGGTACAGGGTCAGTGTCAGGGGGAGACTATAGATCAGTGCCACAGGGGGGAACAGGGTCAGTGTCATAGGGAGTACAGGGCCAGTGCCACTGTGGGGGGGGGGGGGGGGGGGGGGGGGGGGGGCGGGGGGTTACAGGGTCAGTGTCCTGGGGAGAGTATAGGGTCAGTGTCACAGTAGGGACAGGGTCAGTGGGTCATTGTTAAATGGGGTACAGAGTCAGTGTCATGGGTTACAGGGTCAGTGTCATAGGGGGTTACAGAGTCAATGTCATAGGGTTTCAGGATCAATGCCACAGGGGTACAGGGCTAGCAACACAAGAGGCAGAGGGTCAGTGTCACAGGGGACACAAGGTCAGTGTCATAGGGATACAGGATCAGTATCACAGGAGGTACAAGATCAGTGTAACAAGGGCTACAGAGTCAGTGTCACAGGAGATACAGGGTCAGTTTCATAGGGATACAGGGTCAGTGTCACAGGAGGTACAGGGTCAGCATCACAGGGCATACAGGGTCAGCGTCACAGGAGATACAGGGTCAGTGTCACAGGAGATACAGGGTCAGCGTCACAGGAGATACAGGGTCAGCGTCACAGGGGATACAGGGTCAGTGTCCAGGGGATACAGGGTCAGTGTCACAGGGGGTACAGGGTCAGTGTCACAGGGGATACAGGGTCAGCGTCACAGGGGGTACAGGGTCAGCGTCACAGGGGGTACAGGGTCAGCGTCACAGGGGATACAGGGTCAGCGTCACAGGGGGTACAGGGTCAGCGTCACAGGGGGTACAGGGTCAGTGTCACAGGGGATACAGGGTCAGAGTCACAGGGGGTACAGGGTCAGTGTCACAGGGGGTACAGGGTCAGTGTCACAGGGGATACAGGGTCAGTGTCACAGGGGATACAGGGTCAGTGTCACAGGGGGTACAGGGTCAGTGTCACAGGAGATACAGGGTCAGCGTCACAGGGGATATAGGGTCAATGTCATAGGGGCACAGGGTCAGTGTCACAGAGAGCACAGGGTCAGTGTCACAGAGAGCACAGGGTCAGCGTCACAGGGGATACAGGGTCAGCGTCACAGGAGATACAGGGTCAGTGTCACAGGGGATACAGGGTCAGTATCCCAGGGGGTACAGAGTCAATGTCATAGGGTTTCAGGATCAATGCCACAGGGGTACAGGGCTAGCAACACAAGAGGCAGAGGGTCAGTGTCACAGGGGACACAAGGTCAGTGTCATAGGGATACAGGATCAGTATCACAGGAGGTACAAGATCAGTGTAACAAGGGCTACAGAGTCAGTGTCACAGGAGATACAGGGTCAGTTTCATAGGGATACAGGGTCAGTGTCACAGGAGGTACAGGGTCAGCATCACAGGGCATACAGGGTCAGCGTCACAGGAGATACAGGGTCAGTGTCACAGGAGATACAGGGTCAGCGTCACAGGAGATACAGGGTCAGCGTCACAGGGGATACAGGGTCAGCGTCCCAGGGGATACAGGGTCAGTGTCACAGGGGGTACAGGGTCAGTGTCACAGGGGATACAGGGTCAGTGTCACAGGGGGTACAGGGTCAGCGTCACAGGGGGGTACAGGGTCAGTGTCACAGGGGATACAGGGTCAGCGTCACAGGGGGTACAGGGTCAGTGTCACAGGGGGTACAGGGTCAGTGTCACAGGGGATACAGGGTCAGTGTCACAGGGGATACAGGGTCAGTGTCACAGGGGGTACAGGGTCAGTGTCACAGGAGATAAAGGGTCAGCGTCACAGGGGATATAGGGTCAATGTCATAGGGGCACAGGGTCAGTGTCACAGAGAGCACAGGGTCAGTGTCACAGAGAGCACAGGGTCAGCGTCACAGGGGATACAGGGTCAGCGTCACAGGAGATACAGGGTCAGTGTCACAGGGGATACAGGGTCAGTATCCCAGGGGGTACAGGGTCAGTGTCACAGGGGGTACAGGGTCAGTGTCACAGGGGATACAGGGTCAGCGTCACAGGGGGTACAGGGTCAGCGTCACAGGGGGTACAGGGTCAGCGTCACAGGGGGTACAGGGTCAGTGTCACAGGGGGTACAGGGTCAGTGTCACAGGGGGTACAGAGTCAGTGTCACAGGGGATACAGGGTCAGTGTCACAGGAGATACAGGGTCAGCATCACAGGGGATATAGGGTCAATGTCATAGGGGCACAGGGTCAGTGTCACAGAGAGCACAGGGTCAGTGTCACAGAGAGCACAGGGTCAGTGTCACAGGGGATACAGGGTCAGTGTCACAGGAGATACAGGGTCAGTGTCACAGGGGATACAGGGTCAGTATCCCAGGGGGTACAGGGTCAGTGTCACAGGGGGTACAGGGTCAGTGTCACAGGGGGTACAGGGTAAGTGTCACAGGGGATACAGGGTCAGTGTCACAGGAGATACAGGGTCAGCATCACAGGGGATATAGGGTCAATGTCATAGGGGATACAGGGTCAGCACAGAGAGGGGTCATGTCACAGAGAGTCACAGGGTCAGTGTTACAGGGGATACAGGGTCAGTGTCACAGAGAGCACAGGGTCAGTGTCACAAAGAGCACAGGGTCAGTGTCACAGAGAGCACAGGGTCAGTGTCACAGGGGATACAGGGTCAACGCCAACACCAACCTATGAAATCCATAATCCAAAAACAATCAACACAGATCTGAGCTAATTTGCACCACAGCACACAGAAGTATAAATGCTTTGTGTGTTGAGGTGCATCATTGCCAAAAGCAGTGCACATTTTTTTACATTTTAAATAAATATATATATATATATATATTTTTTTTTTAATTTTATTTTGTAATTTTTTTATATCAAGGCTCATTAATTTAGAAAACAAATGAAGTGCCTTAATGCAGATGTACTCACAAAGGTGTGATTGAGTCCTATTGTAAAATATTTGTCTTTCCTGACCCCACGGGCCAAATTGATTTAAGTGCGGAGGAGAATTTTGGTTGTAAATGGGTCTCTAGGACTCCTCTGGGGAGGTTTCTATTCATTTCTTGTCCTGGTGTCACCTGAACACACATAACAAAGACAACCATAAAATAAAAATGAAAAAAAAAAAACAAAAAAAAAAACTTTGTTGCAATCTTTGTTCCCATTGAAGACCTTTCCCTGTCACCCGAACAGTTAGTGGGGGGGGGGGGGGGGGGGGGACTCAGAAATCAATAATCCGCCCCGGACCTGGGGCGGACTGACAACTCATGGGGCTCCCGGGCAATAGGGGATCATGGGGCCCCTGTGTCCTTACTCAAACTCAAAAAAGCCTATGATAAAGGTACCAGGGGCATCTCATGGGGCCCCCTACTGATCCCGGGCCCTCGGGCAGTGTCCGAGTTTCCAAATGGTCAGTCCGCCCCTGCCTCGGAGTGTCCCTTTAGTTTTGGTTGTTCATGGACTCTAGAGAGGTGTTCATAGACAATTCCCATCAGACACTTACAGGCCGGGCGCTGAGTCCTCGCGGTGATCTTGGCTCGGAGGTCTCCCTGGCATGGATGGCTTCATTATATATATAGAGGAATCATAAACGCGGGTTGTGATGCTTCGCTGACTATCAGTATTGGGACACATCACCCCCCCCCCCCCCCCCCCCACGGGTGACACCCGAGCTATTTTCTACCTTTGTTTTAATTTCTCAATTACAGGTGACTCCACCCTGGTGAAGAGAGGTGA